ACACTGTATATACATTTTATACACTGTTCCAGCTAAGTGATGCATTTTCACAATGAAACATCTGATAAGGAAAAACATTTAGACTGGACTCGGTGGCTCAGTCTGTAATTCCAGCATTTTGGGAGGCCAAGTCAAGTGGATTACCTGAGCCTGTAGGTTCGAGACCAGCCTGGGCAACTTGTGAGACCTCATCTCTACAATAAATTAAAAAAAAAAAATAGCCGGGCGTGGTAGTATGCGACTATAGTTCTGACTACTTGGAACGCTGAAGTGGAAAGATCGCTGGAACCCAGCAGGTTGATGCTGGGTTGGCTGTGAGTGTGCCACTTGCACTCCAGCCTAGGCGACAGAGTGAGACTCCAACTCAAAAAAACAAACAAAAACATTTAAATAGGCATTGTAATGGCCAGATGTGGTGGCTCATGCCTGTAATCCCAGCATTTTGAGAGGCCAGGGCAGAAGAATAGCTTGAGTCCAGGAGTTTGAGACCAGGACGGGCAACTTACCTCTACAAACATTTTCTTTTTAAATTAGCCAGAGGTGGTAGTGCGTGCTTGTAGCCCCAGCTGCTCAGGAGGCTGAGGTAGAAAGATAGCTTGAGCCCAGGAGGTCAAGTCTGCGATGAGCTGTGGTCATGCCGTTATACTCCAGCCTAGGCAACAGAGTGAGACTCTGGCTGAAAAATAAAAATAAATAAGCATTTTTTGTTTTTAATTGGAGTCTTACTCTGTTGCCCAGGCTGGACTGCAGTGGCACACTCATGGTCACCCCAGGGTTGACCTACTTGGTTCCCATGATCCTTCCACTTCAGCCTTCCAAGTAGCTGGAACTACAGGCATGCGCTACCATGCCTGGCTAATTTTTATATATCGTAGAGATATATAAAGAGCTGGAGCAACTTGGCAAGACCTCAACTCTACAGAAAAATTAAAAAATTAGCTGGATGTGGTGGAACATACTTGTAGTCCCAGCTACTGGGAAGGCTGAGGCAGGAGGATCGCCTGAGCCAGGAACTTGAGGTTTTGTTGAACCATGATTTGTGCCACTGTACTTTAGCCTGAGTGAGGTAAGACCCCCCCACACTCAAAAAAAAAAAAAATACACATACAAAAATATATATTCAGAATATTTATTAAATCAATTGTGGCAATCGTAAGTGAATCTTCTAACTTTTGATTTAGAGTCTAGTTGAATTACTGTGATATTTTGATGTTCCAATTTTAGATTTTGGTTTATTTTTAATCCCTGAGTCACTGCTGAAGTCAGGTAGAGGAATTTTACAAAGATTCATAAAACATGCAAATATTTTTGAAGCTTGACTAAATATAAGTTAAAGTTGAGAAAATTTTGACTGGGCCTAGTGGCTCATACCTGTAATCCCAACACCTTGGAAAGCCAAGATGGGAAGATTGCTTAAGCCCAGGAATTTGAGAACTGCCTGGGGAACATAGCAAGACCTCATCTCTACAGAAAATTAAAAAAAAATTATCTTGGCATGGTGGTGTGTGCCTGTAGTCCCAGATACTTGGGAGGCTGAGGCAGAAGGATCAGATAGATCACCTGAGCCAGGAGGTCGAGCCTGTGGTAGCCATAATTGTGTCACTGCACTCCAGTCTGGGCGACAGAGTGAGACCTTGACTCAAAACACACAAAAAAAGAGTTTGTCAAAGTCTCAGGATATAAAACCAATGTGCAAAAGACAGTTGCATTTTTATACACCAACAATAAACAGGCAGAGAACCAAATAAAAAGTACAATCCCATTCACAATAGCCACACACACACAAAAGAAATACCTTGGCATCTTCCTAACGAGAGAAGCTAAAGACCTTTACAACAAAAACTACAAAACACTGCTCAAAGAAATCAAAGAAGACACAAACAAATGGAAAAATATTCCATGCTCATGGATTGGAAGAATTAACAGTGTTAAGAGGTCCATCCTACCAAAGGCAATCTACAGATTCAATGCAATACCCATTAAGTTACCAACACCATTCTTCTCAGAGCTAGAAACAACAATACAGAAATCCATCTGGAAACATAAACAACTATGAATAGCCAAAGCAATCCTCAGCAAAGAAGCAAGATGGGAGGTATAACACTTCTAGACTTTATACTTTATTATAAAGCTACAATAACCAAAACAGCCTGGTATTGGTACAAGAACAGGCATATAGATCTATAGAACAGAATAGAGATTCTGGAAGCAAAACCTTAACTTCTCAACCAATTCATCTTCAACAAGGCTTCCACCAACAACCAAGGAGAGGAGAACCTATTCAGCAAATGGTACTGGGAAAACTGACTGATCACATGCAGAAGATTGAAACAGGACCCCTACCTATCACCATACACAAAAATCAACTCCAAATTGATCAAAAACGTAAATGTAAAACCTCAAACTATAATAATCTTAGAAAACGCAGGAGACACCCTTAGGGAAATTGGAATAGGCAATCAATTCTTGATAAAAACTCCAGATTCCCACCCATGTCATAAGAGATAAGATAGACAACGGGACCTCATCAAACTGAAAAGCTTCTGCAAAGCAAAAAAAGCCATCAAGAGAGTGGGGAGACAGTCAACAGAATGGGAAAAAATATTTGCCAACCATATATCTGACAAAGGCCTAACATCCAGGATCTACAAGGAACTCAAAAGTGCCAAAAGAAAAAAATAAACAGCCCCATTAAAAAATGGGCAAAAAAGCCGGGCTCAGTGGCTCAGCCTGTAATCCCACGCCTTTGGGAGGCTGAGGTGAGTGGATTGCCTGAGCCTGCGGGTTCAAGACCCGCCTGGGCAGCGAGACCTCATCTCTACAATAAATCAAAAAATCAGCCAGGCATGGTAGCGCGCGCCTGTAATTCCGGATACTCGGAAGGCTGAGGCGGAAGGATCGCTGGAGCCCAGCAGGTCGAGGCTGCAGTGGCCGGGAGCAGTCACTGCACTCCAGTCTGGGCGACAGAGTGAGACTCCAACTCAAAAAAAAAAAGGGCAAAAAGCTGGGCTTGGTGGCTCAGCCTGTAATCCCGTGCCTTGGGAGGCTGGAGTGGATTGCCTGAGACCGCGGGTTCGAGACCCGCCTGGGCAACTTGGCGAGACCTTATCTCTACAATAAATCAAAAAATTAGCCAGGCGTGGTAGCGCATGCCTGTAGTTCCAGCTACTTGGAAAGCTGAGGCGGAAGGATCGCCGGAGCCCAGGAGGCCAAGGCTGCGGTGGCCGGGAGTGGCCACTGCACTCCAGTCTAGGTGACAGAGTGAGACCCCAACTCAAAAAAAAATTAAATAAATAAATAAATAATGGGCAAAAGACATGAATAGACACTTCTCAAAAGAAAATATACAAGCAGTCAATAGACACATGAAAAAATGCTTAGCCACACTAATCATCAGAGAAATAGAAATCAAAACCACATTAAGATACCACTGATCGCCAGTAAAGAATGGCCATCATTAATACAACAAAAAAACAAAAGATGCTGGCAAAGATGTGGAGAAAAGGGAAAGTTTCTATACTATTGGTGGGAGTGCAAACTAATTCAACCTCTATGGAAAACTGTGCCGATTTCTAAAAGAACTAGAAATTGACCTTCCATATGACACAGCAATCCCCCTGCTGGGAATACACCTATAGGAACTCAAATCATTCTTTTTCTTTTTCTTTTTTTTGAGGCGGAGTCTCATTCTGTCACCCAGGCTGGAGTACAGTGGCACACTCACAGCCACCACAACCTCAACCTGCTGGGTTCAGGCGATCCTTCCACCTCAGCCTTTCAAGTAGTCAAAACTACAGGTGGGTGCCACCATGCCCGGCTAATTTTTTGATTTATTGTAGAGACAAGGTCTCATCAAGTTGCCCAGGCTGGTCTCAGTCCCCTGAGCTCAGATAATCCTCTTGCCTTGGCCTCCCAAAGTGCTGGGATTATAGGCATGCGCCACTGCCCAGCCAACTCAAATCATTCTACAAAAAAGATACCTGCATGGTCAATGCTGGGGTGGCGAGTGTGTCACTGCACTCCAGCCTGGGTGACAGAGTGAGACTCCAACTCAAAAAAAGAAAAAAGATACCTGCATATACATGTTTATTGCAGTATTATTCACAATAGCAAAAACATAGAACCAACTGTGCTGCCCATCAAAAGTAGACTGGATTTAAAAAAAAAAGTGTTACATATACACGATGAAATATTATGTGGCCATGAAGAAGGACAAAATTGACCGGGCACAGTGGCTCAAGGCTGTAATCCCAGCACTTTGGGAGGCCAAGGCAAGAGAATTGCCTGAGCTCAGGGCTTCGAGACCAGTCTGGGCAACTTGGTGAGACATCCTCTCTACAATAAATAAAAAAATAAGCTGGTGTGGTAGCACATGCCTGTAATTACAGCTACTTGGAAGACTGAGGCGGAAAGATTGCCTGAGCCCAGCAGGTCGAGGCTGCGGTGGCTGTGAGTGTGACACTGCACTCCAGCCTAGGTGACAGAGTGAGACTCTGACTCAAAAAAAAAAGGCAACTTAAATCAGAGTGTGACTTTTCTTATTTCTGAGGATCTGATGAGAAAACACTTACAATTGTTCTTTTAAAAAATACTTCTAATATAATTGTTAGGTGTAATTTGCAATCTTTGTTCTAGTTGAGTTGCTTGAGTCTTGTTGGCTTATTGTGGGTGTTAACATCCTGGTGATACATGCTAGTACTGTCTGTATAGCACTTTAATTGTAGAAATTATCTCTTGGCTTATCTATCTTCTGATTTTTAATTATCTTTAGAGAGAATTATACATAGACTTTCCACAATGATTACCCACGGTCCTACACTGATAAGTCCCAAACCTGTTCATTATGATGTAAATATGTCCTCTATTGATAATTTCAGTAGGGTATATTTCACTATAATGTCCCTTTCCATTTCTATTAATAATCTGCATTTTAAAATATGTGCTCTTCTCTTCCCTTTCCATTTATTTTAAGGCCACCAATCCAAATCTAATTCCTTTTCTTTTTTTTTTTTTTCCAGAGTTCAGCTGTTTATTGAACATATTATAAAAGGTTTAGTCTAACAGACCAAAGCCCATGTCATCATCAGACTCCTCAGATTCTTCCTTCTTTGCTTCCACATTCTTCTCCTCTGCTGGGGCCGCAGTAGTGTTTGGGGCAGCCCCCACAGAGCAGATGAGGCTGTCAATGTTGACGTTGGCCAGGGCCTTTGCAAACCAGCCAGGCCAGAAAGCCTCCACAGTCACACCTGTGGCCTTAATGAGAGCGTTGATCTTATCCTCCGTGACAGTCACATCGTCCTCACGCAGGATGAGGGCTGAGTAGATGCAGGCGAGCTCGGACTCGGAGGCCACGGTGCGGAGAGAGCGGGATGGGAGCTGCCGGGCGCGATGCTAGTCGCCAGATGAAGTGAGGGCCTCACCCCAACGCGTCCTTAGCTCCCTTGGAAGGACCGAGACCTTGGTCGCAGCTGGGGAAAGGGCCCTTTACATTTATTGAAAAAGAAAACTCGCCGGGCTCGGTGGCTCAGCCTGTAATCCCGCGCCTTTGGGAGGCTGAGGTGAGTGGATTGCCTGAGCCCGTGGGTTCGAGACCCGCCTGGGCAGCGAGACCTCATCTCTACAATAAATCAAAAAAAATCAGCTGGGTATGGTAGCGTATGCCTGTAATTCCGGCTACTTGGAAAGCTGAGGCGGAAGGATCGCCGGAGCCCAGCGGGTCGAGGCTGCGGTGGCTGGAAGCGGCCACTGAACTCCAGTCTGGGCGACGGAGTGAGACTCCAACTCAAAGAAAAAAAAAAAAAGAGATTCAGATGATCAAAACCATTCACACCCTCCCCAGCTTAGAAAGAAAACCCAACCAAGAGCATCAAAGCCCAGTGTTCCACCGGAGTTCCAGTTATCATGAATTTGGTGTCCATTGTTCGTGTGCTTTTTTTTTTTCTTTTGAGTCGGGGTCTTGCTCTGTTGCCCAGGAAGGAGCACGATCGCAGTTCTCTGCAGTCTCCATCCCCTGGGCTCAGGCAGTCCTCCCATCTGAGTCTCCTGAGTAGCTGGGACGACAGGTGTGTGCCACCACGCCTGTCCGATTTTTAAATTTCTATTTTTTCGTAGACACGAGGTCTCACAATATTGTCCAGGCTGATCTTGAATTCCTGGGCTCAAGCGATCCTCCTGCCCCGGCCTCCCAAAGTGTTGGGATGACAGGCGTGAACCACAGCACCCGGCCTCGAGTACATTTCTTTAAACACGTCCATGTATGTATGGAATCTCCCTGAACACCATGGGTTGTATGTTCTGAGCTGTAGATAGCTGATCTCTTACAGGGCCTATTTTTTTTTTGTTCGCTTTTTGCCCTCGAAATTATAATTTCTCAGTTCATGCATGCTGACACACACTGTGCTAGGCCACCCATTTTTATTCTGGTGGGATGTCTCCTCCTATGAATACACAGTCACGTATCTGTCTGTACTTCTGGTGATGGCTACTTGAGTGGTTTCCTGTTCGTCGCATGGATCATGCTGCTAGGAATATTCTTGTCCACATCTCCTTGTTTCTCAAGGGGAGTATTTCTCAAAATGAAGATTGTGGCCACTCAGAGGCATTGAAATCAATTTAATGAGTCATGACCAGCATTTTAAAAATCAGGGTTCGAGGCAGGAGCATTGCTTGAGGCCATGAGTTCAAGAGCAGCCTCGACAATGTCGTGAGACCTCATGTCTACAAACAAATTTTAAAAAGTGAGCAGGCCCAGGCAGCACTCACATGTAGTCCCAGCTACTCAGGAGGCTGAGGCAGGAGGATCGCTTGAGCCCAGGAGTTTGAGGCTGCGTGAGTTATGATTGCACCACTGCACCCCAGGCTGGGAGACAGTGAGACCCTGCCTCTAAAAATAATAATCATAAATTTTTAAGAAATGAGAGTGCATCACACA